ACACAAACAAAGCACTACACATTACCTCAATATACACACAACCAGCCCAGACCTGTAGGGATCGGACCACCAAAGCCTCTAAAACATACACACACAGAGCTATCAAAATGAGGACATACTATAGACTTCTATATAAATCTAAAATAATGTTTTTATATAAGGCCAAAACATTATTTGGGTGATTTATGAAGTTGATTTTTTTTTTTTTACCTATGAAGAGAAGTAAAAAAAAAAAGTAAAAGAAAAAGTAAAAATGATTTAGTAAGAAAGAACTACTTATATAGAATTTTATTCTGTTATTTTGTTTTATGAATGAGGCCTGATGTGTGGATGGATAATTCACCTTTTTAAGTAAATTTAATACATAAATATAAAAAAAACACACACCTGTTCAAAAGTTTGGGGTCGGTAAGATTTTTTATGTTTTTGAAAGTCTATTCTGCTCACCAAGGCTGCATTTGTTTGATAAAAAATACAGCAAAATTAGTAGTAATTGTGAAATATTTTTACAATAACTCTTTTCTATTTGAATGTTTTTAAATGTAATTTTTTGCTGTGATGCGCAGCTGAATTTTCAGCATCATTACTCCAGTCTTCAGTGTCACATGATCCTTCAGAAATCATTCTAATATGCTGATTTGCTGCTGTGAGTTTATAGCTCACAATTAAATTGCAAGATGTAAATTCACAATCACAAGATAAAACTTGCAATTATGTTTTTTTTCTCAGAACTGCACATTTACATCTTTAAATTCTGAGAAATAAAGTCAGAATTGCGAGTTTATATCGTCATTCATCTATGGAAGCTTATTTCCACCACAGAAAAAAATAATTACAAATAAAAGGTCATTGCAATCAAAGACTATAGAAATACAAAGATGATTCACTCCTATGCTTATGAATGGGAGATGCTGCAACACGGCGGGATAGTCCCGCCTTCTAAATGAAAGAGCCAATCATTGATTGGTAAAGTCATTGCGTCACTGCAGCAGCCGTTCGAGTTAGGAGCTGGCTAGAGCAGCAGATGCGCGAGCACAGTCATAAGCGCGTTGGAACTACGCATGCGCATTGGCTGGTCTAGCCTGAAAAATAACGCTATTTGAGCATAAGAAACAACATTCATGGGGCAGTTCATTTCAGATTTTGTTGCTGATTTGAAATATGTAATTGAATTGCGAGTTTAGCAAGCAGTTTTTGAGATTTCAGGATTCCCTCATTCATTTAGATGCTTGGTCTTGTTTGAGCTGCCCAGAGGCGTTGCAAATATGGCGGCTGAGTGAACGGACTTTCCTTGAAAGGGACTCTGTTGCAATTCCCAGAAAAAAAGTGTGAATTGTGAGAAAACAAGTTTGTTTCCAACACGGAATCAGGAAATTGCAAGTTTATTTCTCTTGCAAATCTAAGTTTATATCTCACAACAAAACACGGGGAGTCGTGGCCTAATGGTTAGAGAGTCGGACTCGTAACCCAAAGGTTCTGAGTTGCCCTCCCCCCAACCGGGGGGGCACCGAACCCCCAACTGCTCCCCCGGGCGCCGCAGCATAAATGGCTGCCCACTGCTCCGGGTGTGTGTGCGTTCACTGCTGTGTGTGTGCACTTTGGATGGGTTAAATGCAGAGCACTAATTCCAAGTACGGGTCACCATACTTGGCCACACGTCACTTTCACTTCACTTCACTGTATCATTTACCGCAGCATAAATGGCTGCCCACTGCTCCGGGTGTGTGTTCACTGCTGTGTGTGTGCACTTAGGACAATTTTGACTTTTTTTCTCAGAAATGTGAGATATATACTCAGAATTGCTTGAAACAAAAAGTCAGAATTCTGAGAAAAAAGTCAGAATTGCATGAAATATGAACTCGCAATTCTAACTGCATCATATGATGTCAGAGTGATAAAAGTCCACCCAAAAAATTAATTGTGTTAATCTCAAACAGAGATGCTAATCATAAATGTGAGCTTAAGATGAAAAAGTGTTTTGAAAAGCACAATAGCATTACAATATATATTTAAAATGGTCAGCATGGTGTTTAATGTTGTGGTGTTATAATCGGCCTCAGATAAATGTCACACAAAGCTACTCAAATGCATTCATAACGAATGAATGAATAATGAAATAATCATGTAATACAGAAGGCCTGTTCTCCTGCTCATGAAAGGAATGCTGTACAATCCACCCGGGATTCCTCCGAGAGCTTTAGGCTTTCCGAACACAATCCCTCCTGCTATTGTTCTCGGACAGAAGCCAACATTCCAGCCTCTGATTGACAGCTCCTTTCACCAATCACGGCTCAAACGACAGACAACACCTGCGTGGGATCTCCAATCAGAGAGCGGCCTCTAGGCCAGCGATCACACCAATATGAAGCGCTCTAAAGCAGCTCAGGTGGAGGTTTACCTGAAGACGAGAATAAAACCAGGTCAAAAGAGACAGACAGAGCCATTGCTGCAGGGATCATATCATATCAATGTGGAGAGAGAGTGTTTGAAACGGCATACTCAATGAATTAAACAACATTTATGATCATTAAATATTACGGTTTGAAATGTTTAGCATGGCACATCCTATTAATATAGTTTATAATGCATTGCAGTAAGACATACTCTAGTATTCCATTCGGAAAACTGGAATGGAATGGAATACTAGTACACTTTTCAATGCAAACAACACAATACATAGCTTTTATTTTTATATTTTAAATTTAGGCTTTAGCAATTTTGTGGTGCTTTTGTCATTTTTTAGCTGTAATTTATATTTATTTCAATTTATATTTATATAATTTTAGTAATTTAACGTAAACATATTTTATTACACTTAGTTACCAAGGCAATTTTTTTTTTTTTGTTGTGTTAGTTTGAATATCACAATTCAGACTTTTCAAATGATTATTTTTTAAATTCAAAATGGCAAGAAATAGCATAGTATATTGCAGTACTTATTAATATTTTGAAATAGCTTTTATTTTTATATTTATAACATTTTCATTTTACATTTGTTTTAGCATTTTTGTTGTGCTTTTATTACTTTTTGTTTTTTATATTTCTATTTAGCTTTCATTCCATTTATTTCTGTTTATATTTAATAATTTTAGTATTTTGATGTAAACTTATTTTATTTCACTTAGTTGCAAAGGCTACTAATTTCATTAGGTCTACATTGTTCAAGATGAGTTTTTTCCATCTAACATTCGTATTTCATTTTATAGCATTATTTTAGTTAATGCAAATGATATTTAATAGTTCACCATAGTTACCAATAACAACACAGATACCACCGTGGAACCCAGTTATTATAATAATTTAGTTGTTGTTCAACTTTTTTAAATAATTGCATTTAATCCAAATTTTGTAATTCATGTCAAACAATGAGTCAAGAGGACGTTACAAATCACAGTGGAAGCAGATCTAGGTCAAGTTGAGAGCATTGCATTGTGGGATACAGGGCTACACATTGTATACTGCAAATGTTGGCAAATGAAGCATGCATATGAAATACTGCAAAAATAGTATGAAAAGCGGGGAAAGCTGCAGAGCAGAGCCTAAAAAGGGGATGAAGTGGAAAAAGTGGAAGTGACAAGTCATGTGCTCAATCATGTGATCATCTGAGGGGGTAAAAAGGGGTAATTTACTGCCATTCCAGAGCTGGATGAGAGACGGCCAGTAAGAAAAGACAGAAAACAGGTTGTGTGTGTGTTAGTTGTGCTGGAGTTTCCCCTCTGTTTAAATGATGCTGCGCTGTGATTGGTGGAGAGAGATGACGGCTGAATTCCATACGTCTGCAGAGTAACGTGAAGCAAAACACAATAAACACAGCAACACATGCACACATACACACCCTCACACACAATCCAGCAGTCTGTCTGATCGCTGTTCAGTGTTATTTGTGAAAGGTGAACTGTGTGTGTGTGTGTGTGTGTGTGTGTGTGTGTGTGTGTGTGTGTGTGTGTCTCTCGCATATT